TCATGTTCTGCAAGCACTGGGTTGCGGCGCCCTTGAGCAGGTTGTCAATAGTGGCGTTGACGACGACGCGCTTTCCGGAGCTGTGGACTGCGAAACCACCGATTTCTACACCATGCTTGCCGGAGATGTTCTTGACAAGTGGGGATTCCCCGACAATCTTGACTAGCTTCTCGCCGGCATAGCGGTCCTGGTACAGGTTACGAATATCCCGGGAAGTCATGGTACGGTTGAGAGGGATGGAGATTGTGTGCTGTAAAAAAAGTTAGCAAGGTCATGTGACACGGGTGCTGAAATCGAGAGATTAGGACAAGACTTACGTGAATACCCTGGAACCAAGCAGCAACATGAGGGATAAAGGCTACCTCAAGGCCTAGTTGGCGTGAGATTTCCTTCTCGTGGATGTGGTCCGTCAAGCTGTACGGAATGAGGTTGTTCTCAAGATTCTTGACATCGTTCTTGGGGCTGGGCTTGGTGCCTGCTCCCGAGTAGCCAGAAACACCAAAAACAGTGGGTTGACCGCCGATGAATTCAAGGAGAGGTGCAATGCCAAGCTGAGCAGCTGTGGCATAGCATCCAGGGTTTGCTATCCGCCTAGCGTCTGAGAGCTCTGAGCGATTGACGGTTTCTGGCAGTCCATAGGTCCAGGAGCTGTCGAATCGGTAGTCAGCGCTCAGATCGACAATGACGGGGTCTTTGCCGCTCTCGTTGATTGCATCAACGAATGGCTTGCAGACACCATTAGGAAGAGCCATGACCCAGCAGTCTACCTCTCCGTTCTCAGCCATCTTCTTGACATCTTCGGCTGACAGGTTCTCATAGGTAATCTGTCGTTTGGTGTAGCCTTCAAGCTTCTTGCCAGCAAGCTCACGTGATGATACATGGCGCAAGTCCATGTTAGGATGCTTATTAAACAACTCAATCAGAGCTTGACCTGTGTAACCACGTGCGCCAATCAATGCGACCTTGGCAGGATAGTCCCTGCTCTTGTGCTTGATACCGTATGGAGGGTTGGGGTTAGTGGTCTCCATGGAGCGCTTTGCGGTAGTAGCGAAGCCTCGGGTTGATGCAGGTGCAAACTTGTTTTGTCTACTTTTTAGGTTAGCGATAAAGATCAACAGAGGTTTGCTTGAAGGGGGTGCGCTGAATGGCTTTTTTACGTACCTAAGACCAGGCCTTGTAGAAGAACCAGCAACAGTAGTGTATGCGCGTGTCTGCTGGCCCTGCTTCAAGCTCGCTACAAAGTCGGCCGCCCTTCGGAACTGAGCGTCAAGGCTGTCCTTCAACATGCTGCGGCCCTGCTTCTGGTAGTTCTCCAGTAGCGAAAAGATTTCCGAGGACTCGGCTGCTCCCCACCAGCAAAAGATTTCCTTTTCACGGCGAAGGAAGCCATCCGTCTTCTCCAGGTGCCACTTGACATAGTTCTGTGACTGGTCATCCACAATCCAGTAGAGCTTGGGGTACTTTTGCTTCATGCGCTGGAAGACCAAATCGTTCAGGTTGTTCAAAAAGGCGTCTTTGGTCATGCTGAAGTGGGACAGCTGGGCGAACTCCCCCTCGGCTGTAGGGGGGTACACAACAGCGACAACGCCCATGGAGTCATCATGGAAGACCTCGAACGGACGGTTCTTCAAGTTTTGGATGTATCGGTTGACGGCATCACTTGCTTCAGTTCCCCGGCTCTTGGTAATCCCTTCAACAAGGGCAGAAACATCCAAGTCTTCAAACTTGCTGATTTCCTTAACGCTGCCTCCGTTTCGAATAAGAGTCCCACTTCCGGTGTGGGTAAAGAGTTCTTTTCCGAGGTTGGACGGGTGTGTAATGGCAACGCTGGAGGTGCGTGGGAGACCGTCTAGGAGCTTCTTTGCTTCTACAATCTTGAGCTTGGTGCCGTACTTGACCCACGACTGCTTCATGTAAGTATCGTACTCGCCCTCGAGGTTGATGTGAGGGATGAGCTTGGACTCGGCATTGAATAGGCCTCCCTTCTCGGAGAGGTAAATGACCTTGAGAGGCTGGAACTCGCGTGCCAAAGCTGCGGCAGCTACGTCGGCGTTGATATTGAGGATCTGGCCATCAATTGTCTCGCCCATGGAGCAGAGGATGGGGAGCTCCTTGTTCTCGAGAGCGTCCATGATCTGCCTCCTGTTGACATTGGTGATGTTGCCAACGTACTTCCATTTGTCCTTGTCCAGGTAGTCGGCCTGCAGCGCACCAGCGGTGATGGGGCGCGCAGGGACACCCCAATCGCGCTTGAGGGTCATGACCAAGTCCATGTTTGCCTCCAAGAAGAGCTTGCGGGCAATGCCCAGCGTCTTCTTGTCCGTGACGCGAATGCCATCAATAAAGTCTGGCTCGACACCTCCTTCGAGCAGCAGCTGGTTCATCTGGGGGCCAGCGCCATGGACGATGATGGGATACAGGCCAATTGCGTGGAGCTGCTGGAGGGCGAAGCAAAGCTCTTCAAGGTGGTCGGTGAGAATAGCGCCTCCGACTTTGACGACGGCGAATTGGTGTGGTGAGACGGAGCGAAACTGGCCCAGGTACTGGTCGACTTCGCGGCGGGAGCTGGAGCTGGCCAGCAGGTTGAGGAAGGCGGCATAAATGGATGAGTTGCGCCCATCCTTGGAGGACGTGTAGAGGCGGGCGGGCGTTGTGGTCGCGACGAGGGCTCGCGGGAGGGCTCGCCGGGCTTGGGGTGCGAGGACGCGGTGGGAGGATCGTGCCGCTACACGGCCAGCTCGTACAATGCTCTGCATGGTGATTGTGAGTGCTCGCAAGAAGCAAAGGCTACCCAGGCCCAAGCCGACGACTCAATCAGACACAAATTGACTACCGTGACTGGACGGTGGAGACTGGAGGGAGCGGGACCCAGGCCGATGTGTGATATGACGCCGAAGCAACAAAATTCGCTCCGCCCGCCGCCGTTATCGCTTCTTCCCCAGACATCTGGGCCAGCAAGCACTTGTCTGGCTCCAGGGGCGTGCGTAATGGCCATTGGTCATGCAGCATCGCCCGCATGCAGCCCACACACCCTCTCGCACCCGCATTGCACTGCACTGCGCTGCGCTGCACTGCACTGGGGGACGGGGGAGGAGGGGGCACCTGGTTGTGTCGCTGTTCGGCCGCAAGGCTCGCTCTAACGCTTACAATGGGCCTTGGGTGCTGCTTCTGCCTTGCTCACAATCATCATCACACAGTCACGCACTTGTCGACACACTTCCGTGCATGTACATATAACAAGAAAACTCCATTTGCTCGTCTGGCCATCATGCGTGGAACTAGCCTCATCAGACTTCGTAGCAGGAGCGGCCCGTTCCATGCAAATCGCGCTTTACAGGATTGTGGCACAGCCGTGCGAGTGCAAACAAAGACAAGAAAGAAATTCGACCCATCGCTCCCTATTCGCCTAAAGATAGATCCTACAGAGACAGATGTCGTTGATCATGGTGCAGCTCATAGCCACTCGCCCCCTTCACCAGTGGCTCACCCCCTACAGACTCGCTTCATTCCGTGCCATTATTAATGTGTGTAATTCGTGGTATCTCATATAGGGAGGGTTTACTTCTTTTGCGTGGCTACGACTATGGGGCGTATTAGTACTCGGCAACCAAACAAACGGGGGGCTTCCAGGGCAAGCTTACCCGAAGGGACAATGATGACAATCAGCAGGATGATGATGCCGACAATGAGGCACATGCGCATCTTCATGTCCTTCCACCACATCTGCTTGCGCACGCGGTTGGCGCCCCTTCGGAAACCTTGGGCAGAGACAGCAAGGTTGTCCGTCTTGTCCTGCAGCGAGTCTAGGCGAGCTCCACGCTCAGAGACCTTGTTGATGTTGTCGCGCATGATGCCGACGGTGCTGTCGATTTCCTGGCCTGCGAGTCAGCGGATCTTGTCGCATACACAAGTTTCTGCCAGTTGAAGCTGCGCAGCTCGCACATGCGCACGGCGGTCCAGGTGCTGCCCAAGGGCGCAGACTAGCGGAGTCGCTATCGCAACCGTCTCGAAACAGGCTACGTTGTTTCGAGTGCTCTTGCGGACATGCCGGTGCAAGACATCGCTGAGTTGCTCTATTCTGGCAGGGTGGGAGGGTGAAGACGTACAGCTTGAAGTGCCGCGGTGCGGTGATTACCGTTCTGGCCGCCTGGCTGGTCACCTGGCTGGCCGCCGGGAATGTAGGGATCATATGGAGGCTCCTGACGGTTGGACATGTTTGCAGATGAGATGCTGTGGAGAATCTGGATAGCGTGCGACAGTGGCGGGTGGTGCGGATATGGAGGGTGGGTGGTGTCGGGAGGGTGTGAGTGAAGAGAGAAGGTGGTGTGGTCGAGAGAACCAAGACTCAAGAGCCCGCTCAGCCCGGATGAACGAGCGTAATGTGTCAGCTACCGTTTGAGCACTGAGGCGGAGGTATGCGTGAAACTTGGCGCAACAAGACCAAATTCGGAGACAGCGGATATCTGAGCGGATATGAGATGTTGTTGCAAGAGGCTGACAGGCACCACGGACGATTTTACCTTGGTGACGGCATTCCCAGCGTGATGCAACTGACGGCAAGCACAACGGTGGCTCCAGTCCGCTTCGGGCCCGCTGCGCCACACTTCACGTGACCCGCTGCCAACCCTCGCCGCTCGCATTACGCTTCGTCCTGTGGCTGGGGTGGCCACCAGCCGCTCGTCTTCGTCAGCGCCCAAGCATGCGACACACCCGCCGCACAAAGACGAAGACAACAATTCATTGCAGTTGCCCTGTGTATGTACGTACTTGATTTGCGCGCCATGCCAGCACGCCTCGCGGCACTCCCAGACGGTGCCCTTGTTGCCGCTGTTACTTACGTCGCAAAGCTGACGGGGCTGCTATACGCACCCGCCCCCCAGGCCTCAGCCGCAGGGAATACGACGTTTCTTTGCGGGCGGGCAGTGGTTCTGGACTGGCACGGCGACAGGGCGGCGGCCATGACGAAGCCATTTCTTTCTTTGTTTTCTAAATGCAGCGCACTAAACGCAGGTCGCGCCGAGAAAGCTTGCGAAGCTTCTTAATCCCGTTAGGCGTTCATCAGCATGAGCACAATGCTCGGGTGTCTGCATCGCGTGTGTCTGAGCATGGCTTCGAGACGCTCCTTGCAGCACGACAGCGGACGGTGTGCCGGTCGCCCGCCTATCAACCGGGCCTGGTGGAGCAGAGGCGACGGGGCGCCAAAAGGCAGAAACATGCGCCAGAGGGCCAGAGGAGCAGAGGCCAGTGGGCTGGGGTGCTGCCCTGATCGCCAAGACGCGTGTACTAGCCCATATCTCCGGCCGCCGCCGCTGCGCCTCTGCCTTGTCGCTGCTCTCTTGCTCAGGAGTTCTGTCTTCGCAACCACTGCCCTCTGCTGCTGATCTTGCGCCATCTCCCGTTTCTTTCTTGCTACCCTCAACACGCTCGCTGCACCGCCTGGTCTCGCATCCCCACGCGGCACTCTCCATCCACCCTCGACCCTCTGCGCTTGCTCTGCTCTCCCTGAATCCGTCGCTCGTTCCATCCTCGACACCAGCCACGCCCTTCTGCCATACCCCACGTTCCACCACCTTGGCTATCTTGGCCGTATTGGCACCACTGCGCATCGCTTGCCCTCAAGCCTGGCGCTTGAACCTCTTCGCTTTTGTCCGCTAGACGACTGCGACTCCAAGTCGCATTGTCCTACGACCACTTAACATGAAGCTGACGTCTGCCCTCGGCGCCATTGGCGCCTCGGGTCTATTGCTCTCCGGCGTAGGAGCAATCGACCTCGACATCAACTCGCCAGGTGGGACTGCTTGCCTCATGCCTCCTACCGCCTTTCACTGACATCTGTAGACTCCATTAAGCAGGCTGCCGCCGCCCTTGCTATAAACCTCCGGTCTTACTACACTGGTGACCGGCCAGGTGATGTTCCTGGTAATCTTCCAGATCCTTATTACTGGTGGGAGTGCGGTGCCATGTTCAATGCCTTCATTGACTACTGGTACTATACTGGCGATGAAACATACAACGGCATCACCACGCAGGCTCTGCAACACCAGATGGGAGATGACGGCACTTTCATGCCTTCAAATCAGTCCAAGACGCTTGGAAACGATGATCAAGCTTTCTGGGGAATGGCCGCTTTGTCCGCAGCAGAGAACAAGCTTCCTGATCTCCCAGGCGACCAGCCCTCTTGGCTGTCTCTAGCACAGGCCGTCTTCAACACCCAGTATAGGCGCTGGGATACGTCTACCTGTGGTGGAGGTCTGCGATGGCAAATCTACACCTTCAATAACGGTTACAACTACAAGAACTCGATTTCTAACGGCTGCTTCTTCAACATTGCTTCAAGACTCTACAAATACATTGGCAACGACACATATGCCTATTGGGCTGAGAAGGCCTGGGATTGGGAGCATGCCATTGGACTCATGAGTGATGATTACCATTTCTACGATGGAACCGACGACACTCAGAACTGTACTTCCATCAACCATATCCAGTGGACCTACAATGCCGGAATTCACATGGCCGGTGCTGCCGCCATGTGGAACGCGGTAAGTATCAGATAAATACTTGTTGGCGATGATCACGTGCTAACAGTAAACAGACTCAAAACGACACATGGCGTGGCCGTGTTCAGGGTGTAATGGATGGAATTAACGTCTTCTTCAATAATAGCGTCATGACCGAGGTTGCATGTGAGAACAACGGCAAGTGTGACGTCGACCAGCGTTCCTTCAAAGCCTATCTCTCTCGCTTCATCGCATACACGGCTGCCGTCGCGCCTTGGACTCGTGACCAACTCAATCCTCTCATCCAAGCCTCTGCCCAAGCTGCTGCCAAGCAGTGCACCGGAGGTCCTAACCAGACATCATGTGGTCTTCGATGGACCGACGGAGGAGTCAACGACGGTAGTTTCGGTGTTGGCGAGCAAATGTCCGCCATGGAGATTATTCAGTCATTGCTGTATACTACTAAGCCCGGACCTGTGACCTTGGACAAGGGCGGTATCTCCAAGAGCAACCCCAACGCTGGTGACACTTCGACCGATACGCCTATTACATTCAACTCCATCACTACTGGTGATAGGGCGGGCGCTAGCATTTTGACCATTTTGGTCCTGGTTTCCATTCTCGTTGGCGCTTGGTGGATGGTATCATAGATTTGCATACATATCCCACTTGTATATCAGTTGTTTGGGCTGTGCATCATCATGCTACAGTACGTTTTTTCTCGGAAACTGTACATTGTTTGGGTAATCTTCACTGTGCTTTTCTTCAAATATGTATTCGGATGTTTTGATCAGCGACCCGGGTTACTCACTAGTATAATAAACACAAATCGTTCAAAGTTGAAATTCACCAGTGGAGTCGGCTTTGTTTGCACATGTCTTACCCAAACAGGCAATGACAGTGAAGCACTAGCATTCGCTTATCTTATCCTAATCCCTGCACAAAAGTTCCAACCCCACAGTCGTTTCTTTGCAGTTTGGCCTGGCAAAGGCGTCAATAGACTATACACCACAAATGGCCGAACAAGCTACAGAAGAAGATGTTCTGCTGGCCAAGCGTATCATTTCTGCGGCCGAGCGACACGATGTGTCGGCGTTGAACATTCTGCTTAAGGACGGCTCCGCAAACGTCCAGGACCCCACGGCAACAGTAGCAACATCCCCGCTTCACGCAGCAATTGCATCTTGCGGAAAAGCCGAAGAAGGCAAGGAGGCGAGTGAAGAGGCAATTCAAACCGTGGAAACGCTTCTCCAAAATGGCGCCATCTGGAACGATCTCAATAAGGAAGACGAGACCCCAGGCTGCATCGCACTCCGCCTCGGCCAGAAAAAGATCTACGACATGATGGTCGAAGCCGGTGTCCGCGCTGAGATTCTCTTCGCCCGAATGGAAGCCTTAGGCATGGGCGAGCCCGCCGAGGAAGTCGAAGAAGACACCGAGATCCTCGAGGAGCAACCCGCCGCCAAGAAACAAAAAATATCCACGGAAGATGCCAAACCCGTCGAGCAGCCCACTTCAGAAAAAGTCCTTGACGACGTCTCCCTAGACAACCACGCCTACCTCAAGAGCCAACTTCGCTACAAATCCGGCATCCTCCTCGACGAAAGCGACAACGCCGTCATGATGGACTGGGAAACGCAAATCATGCAGCGCCACGCCGAGACTCTAATCCCCAAACCGGGCCTTCGCACGATGGTAAGAGATACGTGTACGAAATGTATGTGAGACATACACTAACTTTGCACCTACAAAAAGAACGTTGGTCACGGCATGGGTATAGTAGACACAGCAATCTTAACGCATGATCCCGCTGAGCACCACATCATCGAGGCCCATCCGCAGGTGCACCAGCGGCTCCGCGAGAAGGGCTGGTACGACAAGCCCAACGTCAAGATTCATGAGGGTAGGTGGCAGGATATTTTGCCTAAGCTTATTGAGCAGGGTGTTGTGCTTGATGCGATTTACTATGATACTTTTGCAGAGGATTACAAGGCGCTCAAGGAGTTCTTTGCCGAGTACGTGGTTGCGCTGCTGGCCAAGGACGGAAAGTTTGGTTGGTATAATGGACTTGGTGCTGATAGGCAGATTTGCTATGATGTTTATACAAAGGTAACGACACCTTTTTTTTCCCTGTAATTGTTGTTAGAGAAAAATGACTAACGTGGTTGCGGGCAGGTTGCGGAAATGGATTTGTACGAGGCAGGCTTCGATACGGAGTGGGAGGAAATCAATGTCCCAGAGGGATTGCATGGAAGCGATCAGTGGGAGGGAACTAGGAGGCCGTACTGGACCATTGATGTGTACAGGTTGCCTGTGAATACGTTTGTGAAGTAAAGCGGAAAATCTACACGATCACGGTACTTTATCGAAATGAAGAAAGTATGAACAAGAATACTCGAATACTATTAGTATCAAATCAAAACTAACTGAGCTATTTACAAGAAGAAGAAAAATAGGTATCATGTATATCCATTGCCAAATTAATCCCAAAACCCAATATCATCATCTACATCATCATAAAAATCATACTCATTCCCCAACGGCGTCGGCAGAAACTCCCACACATGTGGAATTAAAATAGCACCCAGCACAATCCAACCCTTACCCTGAAGCCCCACCATCTCCAGGCCAATCATCGCACTAACCGCCAGCGAAAGCCTATGTAAAATCCCCAGAGGCAGCCACGGGAACCGCCGCGCATGTTCTTGATTTCGGGTTAGGATAGGACCTTGCGCCGCCGTATACACTATTTGCTCGTGATACCCATACTGCTGGAGGCTGGTCCGACCGGCACGATTAAGCCCAGTGTCGCGGTGGAATCCGTTTTGGTTGTAGCCTTGGGCGTCGTAGATGGCGGGGCCGTACCTGGGGCAGCCGTGTCGAAAGCCGGCCCAGGGTTTGCCGCAGACGTAGCAGAAGGAAGTGCCACAGATGCATCTATCTTACTGCATTAGTGACAAGGAGTTCCGACTTTTTCTTTCTCTCGATTGTTTCTTTCTTCTTCGGTGGTAGAGGGAGATTGGGGGAAGGGGGGGGGGAAGGGACGTTACCTGATGTGGTTGCATGCTTCGGCCAACTCGACGGTTGCGCCGCAGGCGAAGCAGCGTTGATATCCCTTTTCAAGAACTATTTGCTTGAAAGCTTCGTCTGTGTCGTTTGAGATGCATGTGTGTGTTAGGTTGTTCTTGTCTAGCAGTGTCTTGCAGTGTACACATGTCCAGCTGCCGCATTCTTCTACCTTGCAGATTCCGTAGGTCGTGCTGGAGAGTGCGTCTTGGGCGTTGGACGATGGGTGGAGGAACCGGGAACAAGGCGGATTTGCGCAGTAGAGTCGATTTCTGTTGATCTTTTGTTAGATGTTGCTTGTAAGGAGTCTTGGAAGGTAATCTACAAACGTACTTTGCCAAAATTGAGTACTCGCCTTGTTCCTTGCTGTGATATGCTGATGCTATATCAGCAGGAATATGGTCTTTGTACTCATCCAGCAAGAAAATCTGGTTGCAACATTTTGGAGGGTAAAGACTCTCGTCGTTGATCGCGTATTCGAAGAAGCTGGCTATGTCGTCTGCGCAGACAAAGTGCTCGCCACAAGGTGCTTTGATGAAGGGATCGCCTTTGCTTTCGTCAGACCTACAGATCATACAAATCTTAATGTCATCCACAATTTGAGATGGTTCATCGTCAGAGAGAGGAGGAATATTGTTCGTGATTGGAGTTGCATCGCTGGTCGAGTTATAGCGTTGCAGAAGCTGTCTAGTGGCAAGAACGCTTGACAACGCAAATGCAATGTTGACGAAAGGAGTTATGCAATCCATAGAGAATGCGCGTTTGATATGTAAAGTTAAAGAGCCAAAATTAAATCGGCTTGGTAAAAGTGATTGTCAGAGTGCAGAGAAGATCAAGATCAACCTGTGGATACGGCGAGATTTTGTATAGTGCCGAATAACAGGCAGAATTTGATTCCACGATGTGATCTAGCATTGGTTATTCTTGCGCCAAGAGCAAACCATAATCATTTCATATCATTCCAAAGGTTCTGATCAAGAATGGACGAGGCATACAAATTGCGCTGCGTGTGGTGCGAAGCACGCTTCTCCACACCCATGGTTAGGAGACTTTGAGTGGACCATATATAAACAGCAAATCCTCTTGAGGGTTTTGTCTGACTATTGTTTTCATCAGAATCTTGGAAGTTAATCGGGACTCAGACACATAGCCTATTGCGTGGATGGAGTTTGCGAAGTGAACAGTCATCGTGAGGATCGCAGTATGGTGGATGGAAATATGAACCAGTGTTGCCAGCGCCAATCGGATCGTTTGGATTACCACCTGAGTGGCATAATATTGAACTGCAAATGCTTTTATTATTTCTAGTACTCGGTGAGCAAGTTCCAGCGGTAGGTGTAGCTTCTGGTTTCTGAAGCTGGTCAGGTATCGCCACTTTTATCTAGCATCGTCACCACTGTCTTGGTTTGTTTTGTGCAGGCCGATATTCTGCATCATCAGGAGATTCCCAGCTCTTGAGCAAACTTAGCGTAGCGAAAGTAGCAATGAGCACATGTGTGTTGGCTCTTGGTTGGAAAGCAAGGCTGTCAAATACTGGGTACAACTAACATTTAAGAAGATCGTTCTCTTGCTACATGTCTACTCTTTGATACTATGTACGATAGACAAACCATCTATTTACAACTCTCCCCCAAACGCCAGAACACCATGCAGTTACAATAGTCGTTGACCATCTACTTCCTATCAATCCATCTTCCTCCACCTGATCCAGGCCTGACACCAGCCTTCTTCTCACTACCTGAGTATTTGGCCTCCTCTTCCTCCCATTTCTTTCTCTCCTGCCGCCTTCTGGCAGAATAAGCCCTAGAAAACCTCCAGGCCTCTGTATCCGCCAAGTTCCATTGCTCGACTGCTTCCACGATCTTCTTCATATTTTTATCCTTGCTTTTGATGGCATCGCGAGCTTTATTGAGGCGTTCTTGTTCCTTTTCAACCCACTTGTCATCAGGTATGTCGATGCTTTGAATGGGCTTGGGAGGCCCTGGGCGAGGAAAGATGATCAGCTCAGACTCCTTGCTCGGTGAGCTAGGTTCAGCAGTAGTGGATGCCATCTGGGGCATGCCAAAACCAAAGACCCAGTCGAGATCATCTTGGGTGATGCGTTCGGCCGTCAACCACAGTGAGTGAGCAGGAATGGCTGCCACAAGCTCTTTGAACCTTAATACGCGAACCTCTTCAGTGTGGTCTCCTGGAATAGACTTGTCGGTCAACTTCCGGATCCAGAGATCGCGCTCGGCATTGTTACGCAGGAAGTTACTATCGACTGTGTCCCGTGTGTAATGCAACGAAGTAAGCGTGTATGGATGCGGCACAGTACCGATTGTGAAGAACTTTGTAGTGTTGACAAATTCTGGAAAAATTTGGAGTTTCATCGCCTTGTTGGCGTCACATGGCTTGCATTTTGGCCGATTGGGCGGGCACGTCTTGGGCATTGGAGAGGCTGGGCATTGTGTGAGATTGCGTGCAATACTAGTGGCTTCGAACATGAGCGCAGTCGTATGTTCCGGCACTGGCTTCACGAGTGCTACACCTTCCGGGTGTTGCTCTTGCCATGTTAGATGGAGATGCGAGTTGATGAGACTTTCAAGCAGAGTAAGCGCTTCCGCTTTCGTCGTGTTGGTAAGCTTGTCGGCAATGGTCTTGTACTTGCTAGAAATGGTAGCGGTACTGTAAGACGCAATACCGTCAGCCTTAACATCCACTGCCACATCTGCCGAAGCCAGAAGGTTCACGACTGGCCCACCCTCTTTGTTGGCCAGCTTGGCCAACTTGTCCTTGTTGGCCGTAACATTCTTAAGCAGCTGATTATCGGCAAGCTTCTTGATAGCATTGTTGACAGCTATTTGCTCGCCGAAAAAGATGGCATTGTCGAGGGACTGGACGCGCGACAACTTGGGATACTCGTTGCGTCGCAAAAAGTTCAGCATGGGGTTTTCGTATTCGGCCATGGGCAGAGCAAGCCAATTGACGAGAACACCGCCTTTCATATGCCCCCATGCCAACCAGCGCATGACCTCAAACTCAATTTTTGGATCTAACTTAAGGCGCTGGAAAATTTGGTAGAGCGGGTTGCGCTTAGCTTCATCGCGCGATAGCACTACTGGCTTGAAACCCTGTGCCCACCACGCCCTTCGCCATGCCAAAAGAAGCCTTTGCTCAGCAGCTGATACGTCCTTGTCCTGCTTCTTGGGCACATCATAGTAGGTGTAAATGGGCGGTCGTTCGCGGAGAGGAGGCAGCAGGGCTCTGTTCTCGTCGAGAGTCACAGAAGACGAGAAAGGGTTGCGCCACTTGAAATCGCTCAGCCATTCTATAGCTCCGTATGCACTAGCAGCAGTGCTGTTGGCCTGAACGGGCGGCTTGTGAGGCGAAGGGCCGAAGGGATTGGGCACAGATGGGAGTTGGCCAAGGTCAGGAACGTGTGCTTGCGGGTGCTTAACGGCGTCGGCTACTTGGTCGTAGGTAGGTATGCTTTTGCGCGATGGTGGCCCGTAGAAGACTAGGTTGAAAATGAGAAAGACGAGGATGATGAAGACGGCCTGGAATCTCCGTGGAGGCATGTGGAGCGTCACGGGCCTCCCCATGCAGGTATATCGGACGGGCATGTCGCAATCGAGATGGGGCGGGGGGAAGGGAGTAGGAGCAGAAGAGAGGACTACCGCGACATTGGCGACACGAGAGCGCCCCAGGCAGCCTGCAAGCCGATATCCGCAGTGGGCCTGAACAGGATGGATGGTTGGCCCAAATGAGGGCGACGCGTTGTGCTGACCAGGCAGTCGAGGAGGTACCCAGCTAGCGTACGTAGGGCTGGTGGGCTTGGCATTCACCCCGCCGCCACTGAGTTCCGCGCTGCACTAAAACTAGGCCCATGTAGATGGCAGTGGTGTAGTCGAGTGGGGGGCGCCGATGTCGCCTGCGCCCCGAGCATTTTGACTGGATGCGTCATACCTCGAGTACTTTTGAACCCTTACACACATTTACTTTCACATATTCTTCCTCATCCCCCCTCGCTACCAATTGCCTCGACTCGGCAGACGGTGAGGCTTGAATTCCGACACATCCGTCACGACCTTTTCTTCAATTGTGCTCTTTAACATTTTCATTCCCCGCATGCGCACACGCCGCGCTGTACGCCACTAGATATTTCTTTTAGACGTGACAATGGCCTCGCTCACAAAGGGGAGCATCCCAGACCCCATGGCAGACCTTCACTGGTCTGACTTCAAGGGCCCAATTCACGAAATCTTTGCTAGGAATGCTCGCAAGCACCCCGACCGGCCATGTGTTGTCGAGACCGCCAAGGGCAAGACTCCCGAACGCAAATTTACATACAAGCACATCTTTGAGGCCACCTCGATACTAGCCCATCACCTTGTCCAGAGTGGTGTGCAAAGAGGCGAGGTGGTCATGATCTTCGCCCACCGAGGTGTCGACTTGGTCGTGGCCATCATGGCTGTTCTAGCAGCAGGAGCGACCTTCTCAGTACTAGACCCACTGTGAGTATCGAGTCTCGAGTCTTTCTATTTATGGCTGACAATCTCAAGCTACCCTCCAGACCGCCAATGCATCTACCTCGAAGTCTCTCAACCGCGTGCTCTTGTAATCATCGACAAGGCCACACACGAAGCAGGCCCTCTCTCGGATCAAGTTCGAGACTACATCAAGGACAACCTACAACTGAGAACAGAGGTGCCTGCACTCGAGCTCAAGGATGATGGCACACTGGTTGGAGGCACCAAGGACGGAAAAGACATATTGGACGAGCAGCAGCAACTCAGGACCGAACTGCCTGGTGTACTCGTCGGCCCAGACTCAACACCAACTCTCTCCTTCACGTCGGGATCCGAAGGAAAGCCCAAGGGCGTCAAAGGTAGACACTTTTCGCTCACTCACTACTTTCCCTGGATGGCCGAAACGTTTGGATTATCTGAAAATGACAAGTTCACAATGCTTTCTGGCATCGCCCACGACCCTATTCAACGAGACATCTTCACACCTCTCTTTCTCGGTGCCCAATTACTTGTGCCAAGCAAGGACGATATACAGCACGAGAAACTCGCCGAGTGGATGCGTCAGTATGGCGCCACCGTCACCCACCTCACACCCGCCATGGGTCAGATTCTTGTCGGAGGTGCATCAGCCGTGTTCCCCAGCCTTCATCACTCCTTCTTTGTGGGTGATTTGTTGATCAAACGAGACTGTAGGAGACTGCAGAATCTGGCACCAAATGTGCGCATTGTCAACATGTACGGGACCACGGAAACACAACGCGCTGTCAGCTACTATGAACTCCCAAGTTGCTCAGAAGCGCCCGACTTCCTTGATACCATTGGTGAGGTTATACCTGCTGGTCGAGGAATGAACAACGTGCAGCTCTTGGTTGTCAACCGCGAAGACCGAAACCAGATCTGCAAGCCCGGTGAAAGCGGTGAAATCTATGTGCGGGCCGGTGGTCTTGCCGAGGAATATTTGGGACTGCCAGACCTTACAGCTACCAAATTTATCGACAATTGGTTCGTGGATCAGCAGAAGTGGATAGATGAGGATAAGAAACAGGTTGAGAGCCAGGGCGCCCCCGAGCCGTGGCGGGAGTTTTATAAAGGCCCTCGAGACAGGCTGTATCGGTCTGGAGATCTGGGTCACTATTCTGAAGATGGAAACGTCCACTGCACAGGGCGAGTAGACTCGCAGGTCAAGATTCGCGGCTTCCGCATTGAACTTGGTGAAATCGACTCGCATCTCTCTGCCCATCCGTTGGTGCGCGAAAATGTTACACTGCTCAAGCGTGACGCCTACGAAGAGCCGACGCTCGTCAGTAAGTTGGAGTCCTGTAGTCTTTTTCCCAGGTTGTAACTGACATGACAGGCTACATTGTTCCTGAAATGAAGCGATGGTATGACTGGTTGGAGGAGCGTGGTGCGAAAGAAAGCGATTCCACCGGCGACACAAGCATGGTGACGTTGCTCAAACGCTTCAAATATCTCCGAGACGATGTGCGTGAGCATCTCAAAAAGAAACTGCCTGCATACGCTGTGCCATCGGTCATTGTTCCACTTGTCCGGTTTCCACTGAATCCAAATGGCAAGATTGACCGGCCAGCACTGCCATTCCCAGATCCAGCAGACCTCGCAGCTGCAGGAGCTAGGCGTCCGTCGCAGTTGGGCGCAGCTCTGACGCCTACTGAAAAGGCCATGGCTAGGATCTGGGCTGAGCTCCTTGGTGATCGTGGTGTAACAGCCGACAGCATTGGCGGAAGTGACTCGTTCTTCGACCTTGGCGGACACAGTATCATTGCACAACAGCTCTTCTTCAAAATCCGTCAAGAATGGAAGGACATTGACGTACCCATGACGACAATTTTCCAATATCCTACACTGCGCGGTTTCTCGGCAAACATTGATCAAGCCATGGACCCTATTGGACTGCGTCTTGACACGGCTGAGGCATTGGAAGACGACCCTGATGATGAGGCGTATTCTGCCGATGCCAGAGACCTTGCCAGCAAACTAACCGATTTCAATACCAGGGAGGAGTTGAATCCAAAGGAAGAAGTGCATACATTCCTCACTGGCGCAACGGGTTTCTTGGGTGCCTACATCTTACGGGACATTCTGTCGAGACCAGGAAAGGTCACTGTGCTTGTGCGTGCTCAGGACATTGATGCTGCGCTGGGACGTGTAAGGCAAACGTGTACAGCATACGGCATCTGGGAAGACGGGTGGGAGTCACGACTGGAACCTCTGGTGGGTGATTTGGAAAAGGAAAACTTTGGACTTGAGGCGAACACGTGGAACAAGCTCGTTGACTCGGTCGACGTGGTCATCCACAATGGTGCCTTGGTGCACTGGGTGTTGCCTTACTCACGCTTACGAGGCCCCAATGTCTTGTCTACCATGACTGCATTGTCCATGTGTGCTGCTGGCAAAGCCAAGAAGTTTGGTCTTGTCAGTTCGACGTCGGTGCTGGATACGGATTACTTTGTCAGGCTTTCGGAGAAGAGTCTCGCCGAAGGTGGAACCGGTGTACCCGAGGCAGACGACCTCGAGGGTGCACGCAAGGGTCTTGGTACTGGCTATGGCCAGTCCAAATGGGCGGCTGAATACCTGACGCGCCAAGCTGGCAAGAAGGGTCTAAGTGGCTGTGTGATTCGACCTGGATATGTCTTGGGAGATCCAGACTACGGTACTACAAACACGGACGACTTCCTTGTCCGAATGCTCAAGGGCTGCATTCAGCTCGAGTCTAGGCCCGACATCACGAACACGATCAACATGGTGCCTGTCACACACGTTGCGAGGGTGGTTGTGGCATCGTCGTTTAACCCGCCAGTTGCACCGCTTGGGGTGGCGCAAGTGACTTCACATCCGCGTATCACGTTCAACGAGTTCTTGGGTGCGCTGGAGAAGTTTGGCTACCAGGTGCCTCTGGTGCCGTATGCAGAGTGGAAGCAGAGGATGGAGAGGTATGTTGCTGACCAGTCAGGGACAAAGGAAGAGAATGCTCTACTGCCCCTGTACCACTTTGTGACTGGAGATCTACCTGGCGACACCAAGGCGCCGGAACTGGATGATAAGAACGCGGCAGAAGCGTTGAAGAAGGACCAGGCATGGACAGGGGAAGACTGGAGTCAAGGAGGAGCGGTGACGGAAGATACGGTTGGCGTATATGTTAGCTACCTGATTGAGCTAGGGTTCATGCCTAAGCCGGAGAAGAAGGGCATCAAGGAGCTGGTCATGAGCCGGTTGACGGATGCGATGCGTGAGGGGATGAAGCTTGTAGGTGGACGGCGAGGTGTTTGAGAAGTAGTATGCCAAGGAGGATGACAGATCTGGGCATTAGCAAAAGTAACAAATTCCTAAGAAATGCACATTTGATGCGTAAGAAGCCGAGGAATTGAAGTGGCGAGCCACGTCTGTTGTTTAGCCATTAAGGCGGTAATGTTTACAGCGTGCTTTTGACCCTGGAGATCTGCTGACCTGAGATCCGAGACGAGGGTGAGATGAACATGGGCTTGTGCCGCACCCGCACAAATAAGGTTTGTGTTGGCCGTAACGGCCACAAGTACAGTCAACATGCACACACGAGATGGATACGAAGAGACGGATACGTAGGAGTAGTACGCGGGTGTACTACTCCGTCGAGAGTACGCAAAAGGATGACGTCGAGTGGATACGCGGCCTGAAGTCAAGAGGTGAGGGGGGGGAATTAGGTAGTGGGGGTCGGAATGGTCGGTACTGGGTATGAGACGGGCGGAGCACGGGGCAGATAGGCAAAGGGCTTGGACCCACGGCTCTGGCATGTTTTTTTCTTCCTATGTGCGTCGACCAAGAAGCCCAGGCAGAGGGTGCCGAGAAAAAAAGTGATATTTAATTGACCGAACGGGTGACAGGCCAGTTGGCGGCGTTTTAGTGTGTAATGGGGGGGAAGCGTGCTGAGGGCTTTTTGTCGCTCCTGGCGTGCCAACAGCCAAGCCCAAGATCAACAAGACAGACGTGGTTTCATCGACGCCTAGTAGGGCAGGGCCCGGCATGAGGGCTCAGCCCAGCCCGGTCGACAGCCCAGACAAGCAGCTTGGAAGCAATTCATTCCCACCAACAGCCACGCCGCTGAGGGCGCTCCGATGCTCCACCATGGGGAAGAGGGTTGGACGAGAGGGGTGCGATGTGAGAGGCCGGATGTAGGCGGGTGTGGTGTTCTAGTAGGATGGATGTAATGGCTATGTATCTGGGTGGGTGGGTGCATGTATAGTGTGTACCACCCATGTACAGAGACAAGTAGCTACCACAGTACGAGATACATGGACAGTGGGCGGCTGCATCCATGGTACGCGGTCACGAGACGGATATTTCCAACGAGGCGGGAATTCAACAAACCTTGGGCGCAGCATCAGCCAGCAGCGGAGGCCGTCGAGGGACCGTGGCAGCGCTTCTGGGGCAGCTTGGCGGCGGTGTGTCTGTGTGTGTGTCGACGAGTGGTGGTGGTGGTGGTGGTGCGTGGAGACGGTGAACTGGGCCCAGCAACGCAGCCAGACAGCCTGCTAGAGGAGCATGTTGCTCAGCGTTGCTCAGTATGGCCGAGCCGTGGTGGTTGACATGTCACTGCCGCGCATCCCGTCGGCGGGCTTGTTGTAGCGGCGTGTGCAGCAGAGTTGCGCTGCGTCCGCCTGCGGCCGGGTAGGGCGGGTGTGATTGGGTGTGGGTGGGTTTGGAACGGGCTGCCGAGCAGCCTGCCCAGGCTTGGGGATGAGTGCCAAGCCCAAGACTTCTCCCAAGGCCTTGAGAGCGTAATTCTATGTAACAAGAGTCTTGCCTCTCCTGGGGCCCGTCTCCGCTGCTCGCTATAACATGCCCGCTGCCTCGTTGTCCTCGCATGTCTTCCAGCGTCGCTTGATGCCCGTCCGCCCGTGACGTTGACCCGACCGACTGCCGGCAATGGAATCCCAGCTTCCGCCGCCGCCTGCTTCGGCCATACTCGCGCCCCCCAGCCAGCACCACCAACCACAGCCGCAATACTACCATCGCCTGTCCAGCCCTGCCGCAAACTGCGACTACGACTACGACTCCCAGTACAGTGAAAAGGAACACCGCCACCACTCCTCGGTCCACTCCGACCGCCTGAGCAGGTCGAGCAACCGCCGCCCTCATGACTCCGTCATCTCCCACCCCTTCTCGCCAAAGCCCTCGTCGCCGCCAAGCCCCAGCACCAACAGCAGCAGCAGCATCTCCTCCGTCGGCCACCACCGCAACTCATCAAACGCGCATCGCTACTCGTCTTCGCAGCTTGAGCGCCAGTCCCTCTCCTTTCCACCCCAGGCCCACATCGACCCGGAGAAGCATGCCGAGGCTCTGGCTCACGGCTACCGCGTCTCAAACCGCCTGTCTGCAGTCCCATCCGGCGCCGATGCCATTGTTTACGACAAGGGCGCCTACCAAGAAAAAGGCGCTGAAGAGAAGGCATGGCAGTTACTGGTAAGAAGAAAAATTCCCATGTCGCATCCCACTCGACGCGCTCGTGACTAACATGTGCCCCCCTTAGCTCTGGCTCTGCGGACCCTGCGCCTTCCTCTCCGGTGTGATTGCCATCTGGACCTTTTGCGCTCTCTTCATCACCATCTTGTTATCACCGCTACGCCTCTGCACCACGCGCGCGCCCCTCTCCGAGCAAATCAAATCCTTCCTCGCTCCCTCGCTCAACCTGCAACTGCACATGGTCTACTCGCACGACTCGACGTCTGGCTACAGCGCCCCCATGCTTGTCGTCATCCACCTCTTTTCGCCCATTGTCGCATTCGGCGTCGCAATCGCTGCCTGGACTGCTGCCGGCTTCTGGTTCTTCTCCTGCATTCTTGGCGACCCTGGCGGTCACGACGGCCACAACGATGGCCGCGAGAGCATTGTCGGTGTGCGAAACTGGTGGGAGCGATGGCTTTCTCGCGGACTAAGAGAAACCGATGCTTGAAAGAAAAAGAGGAGGATGAAATGTATTATTGATGAAGCTTTTTTTTTTCTCTTCGTTTCCTTGCTGTATTTTCTGTTATCTTGTTTTACACGTTCTCCGAGCTACGGCAGGATGGAGCGTTCCAGCGGCATATACCATGGCGTACAACAGTCTGGGTTTGGGTTTTATTCTCCAAATGAGAAAGGGTCTCTCTCTGGACGGACGGACATGAATGGGGTGGGAAGAATATTGCTGATCTCGGGATAATGGACAGCAACCGGCGTTTTTTTATTAATGTTCTCTTTGAGCCTCTTTTTTCCCCGGGCCTCCTCCTCTGGATTCGCAGAGAGCAATGAGGTGGGAAAAAGATTGCCGATATGATATACCCCCATAACTAGTTTTTTTTCATTTACTTGAACAATGTCACGAACATGTTCCAACACACAAATTCTCTACTCTCCTTTTGGCTGTGACAGCAGTGCCTCTCTGATCTCGCCTGCCTCACACACACACACACACACACCGCCTCGACCTACCTTCCTCTCTCTCTCTCTCCTCACCGGAAGCTTTCCACTTCGGGCGCCCAGCAAAAACCGTCTTTCTTGTCCTTCAAGCGCAAAGCCGCTACCCGGATATAATATCCATTGTCCCCCCCTCTCCGGACCCACCCATCCAACTCATGAGGCAATCTGCTTATCGCGGCATTTGCCATGTCACTCTACATCCATCCATACACACTGGCTTACCTAGCTAACAATGACACGGAATAAAGTTACCATCCCCAGGTCCACCCTAATCCCCCCTTCCCGATTCCCATGCCAATGCCATGCAAAGCTGCACGTGGAAGTTTGAAGAAATAAAGGCAGAAAAAAAAATCCACTCAAACTTCAATCCGGCCTAGGCTTAGAGAGGGTACATGCATGTTGCATATTTTGCCCTTTGTCCTAAACTGGTCTAGAAGGGGGGGGTGAAGAAGGAGGGGAAGGGGTTCTTTGGTGTCATGCATATGTGTGTGTGAGAGAGAGAACGGAAAAGGTAGGGGGCATAACGTGGGTAGCGGAATAAAAGAAAAGTAATGAAAGTGAAGAAACAAGGGAGGGCAAAGGAAAGGGAAACTTGTTTTCTGAAGGGTGGATTGCTTTTTTGAGGAGGGGGAAGGGAAGGAAGGGGGAGGCGAGCGGGGAAGAGAAGATGAGAGAGCTAGGGTGTGTGTGGGGGTGTATTTTGGTACGGGATGGGGAAATAGATGTGCTATAAAAGCTTGGTAGACGGCCTCATTCTGGCTAGCCTTGTCTGTTTTTGGCGAGCCTTTTTTTGCGTATCATTGTTTTTGGGGTGCTTCATTTTTTTGCTTTTGTGAGCGTCGTCTGGGAGGCGTGACGGATGGAGTGCAGTAGTCGCGATCGGAACATCATCTCTGGGGAGGGGGCTGGGGACAGTTGAGTTTGTTGAGGTGATGATCGGGGGAGAGAACGATACGAGGGAGTTTATGCGCTCTAAATGAGTGTCCCTGACATCATATCTGTAGATGTTGATGCATGAGGCAGGACTGAGGCGGGAAAAGGAAGGCATTGCTTGGCTCTGCAAATACCTCTCTTTTTGTTCTCCTCTTGCTTCTCGATATGTTGTGGAACCATTGGACGAAGCAAAAAGAAAAATAGAGATGTCGCAGATCCTAAGAATAAACGTTTCACAACTTGTCTAGAGATATTTTCTTAATTCCTACAGTTGGTGTACACTACACGTCACACGTGACTTCTTCTTATACCTTCTCTCAGACTCCACAATGTACGTACCTACATACATATGTAAGCGCACACAGACACGTACTCTTACCCCAGACCCCAGACCCACGTCATTCCTCTCCTCGCCTTGTCTCGCTAAGATTGCCTGCTTACTTACATATCTTCATCTCACCGCCTAGGCGCCGAAAGAATACGAGAAAGCCCCGAGTCAAGTATGCATACCTACACAAACCGTGTTTGTATCAATGGATTCAAATATCCACAAAATAAACTTCACCTGTAGAGCTCACATCAGATCGACTTATCCGGTGACCGGATGGTCTTACAATGATAACACTGGGCAAACTCTATTTCCATTTCCCCAAGATAGGGAAATCAAGTCTGGTGGAAGGAGGTGGACAAAGGTAGAGAGGTGCTAACGGGTCATTCTGAGATGCTCGGCAGATTTACCGGTGGAGTATCGTGAGTGTGAATCGAGCATTGAACACGATCCCTTTGCCCAGAGCCTCATCTTGGCTTTGATGCGTGTTTTTACTCATAATACGGCCGCATCGATTAATATTGTCAGAAAATTCATCATTCGTGACTTGGCTGTCTCGCATACATATCCCTTTTTACGAGTTAGAACCACAAGAGAAAAAATCTATCTCCATATCTACCTCGTCACTTCGAGCACATAACACGAACACACCTTTCCAGCGATGATGGAGAAAGAGAAATGAAACCCGGAAGCACATTTTACCTTCAAGCCCGAAAGTAGCACCGACAGCCAAAAAAAAAGGTCAAATGATTGGCTGGGCTACTATGCAAAACTGCACAGCCATCACACGCAGTAAAAAACTTACTCGAGCGAGAAGACACACAGCACAGAAGGTGGACCCCCCAAAGCACCACCACATTTTAGCGACACGTACGATGACGACGATGACGACAAGGTACATGCCTGCTCACCGCAAATGTGGGCCTGTGCAGAGGAATGACAGCGAAGAAAAAAATATGAGAGGGTTAATCGTTGTAAATGACGATGTTCGCTAAATGAAACGTGACAGTTGTGACAGCTTGTTAGCTCTCTCTGTGTCTCAGTCTCTCACACACGGATAGAGAAAGACAAGGGAGGCATGTATAGCATGGATGCATAATTTTTTTTCCCTTCATAAATACATATATAAATTGACATTTGTGTCAATATGTAATTTGTATATTTGTTGCTGACATGTACACACCTATATGTGTGTATATGTACAAGATGCTAAGTCTTAAGTCGCTCTTTTAAATCGCTCAATGTTGTTCATAAAAGACATTACTGCATTAGACATGATTAATACAAAGGTTGAAAAAAAAGGTTCCGGAGCGAAGGCTACCGTAGAACGCTTGAAGAAAATAGTGATTGGGACACGGTAAAGTTACCCAGCACAGTCTCTTTGATAAAAAGAGACTTGACCTCTGCCGTACTCCAGACTGTGGTGAATGAGCCGCTGTGCACATCTTCAGCTGCTTTTAGTATAGGGATAGCGCCAGCTACCATTACACATCGCTTGTCGCTAACTCCATGTGGCATAACACAGTCTGCTGGACGCCCATCGGTCCCAGTCGTTGCCTTTGTATAATTGTTCTCGCCCAAGATGCCAAATCGTGTCGTCGTTTCGCTTTCGTATTGCCGAAATGTTATTCCGAACAACGCACTTCTCGTATTGTTATCCGGCTGCCCGCCCTTTTGTGCTGTTTGCCACGCATAGTCTCTCGCGCTATGCAGTTCTTCAGACACTGCTCTACGAGTAAAGGATCCGCCTCGATGATTTCCTCATTCAAGAACCAGCGAGATGTTGACTTTTTAATGGACAGCCGCAGACAGCTTCGGTCGCTGCCAATCTGCTTTTGGAAGAAGTGGTCGAGAAAGGCGTAGGAATCGTCAAATGTCTTGTAGCAGCTGTTGCATGCAAATGTCGCTTTATCATCTCTTGAAACTGGATCCAGTGCAATATGTGATGTGAAGAGAATGCACCTAGACGCCGGTAGTCCAGAATGGGCTGCAACAGATATACACGCGTTGCAGTGGGGACATATTTCTCGGTCATCGTACTTGTCGTGCGGGTAGGCTTTCTTTGCTCGTAGAGTGCTGGTTTTGGTTTCCTTGAGGTCCTTGCGAAGTTCGTCTGCAAATGGACAGAATTCGACTTTGAATCGTGGCGGGGGAAGTACTGGCGAGAGAATGGGTGTTTCAAGGCGGGCATATTGATCGCGTAGTGCAGTTAAACAGGCGCGGCGTACGCTCTTTGCAGTCGTGATGATGTCGTCAATGGGTGTGACTGGTGTTGCTGAGAATGCACTGTCGTACAGCGGCTGTCTGATTTCGTATTGAACTCGGAGCAGTTGTGCAGAGAGCACCGTGTTGCATTTTTCTGTCCACGGTCAACACCTGTGTTTACAAGCTGCAAGACATGGCTTACGGTCTCCCTCCTCAAACCGCACGCCGAATGCTTCTTTCCCCGCTTCCATGATCCTCTGGACCTGGCGTCCAAGGCTCAAGGCTTTGCCCACAGCATCGTCTCGATTCTTGTTACCAAAGCATACCCACTTGGACCGAGAGCGGCGATGACGTGCCTGCCATTGCTCGTACGCCTCGTGTGCATCTTGAAAGACACGGTCAATGTCCCACAGGGTGAGGGACGTGTGCTGTGACTTTTCGGGCGACATGGCGATTGTTGTAGACATTATGTAAAAAAATAATATAGAGGGTTGACGAAAAAAAGAATATAGGATTCGTTATAGAGAGAGCAGAGCGACTAAATGGAGGACGAGGATGACAGGTGAAACGTCTAAACAGGATGAATGGGTATGTTTAATTAGGGCGGCCCTACCGGAAGTGGACGAGTCGCAACAACAACAATCTTGTTTGGGACAACAGCCACACACGAATGATGCCAACCGGGATCAAGGCTCGTGTGCATGCGGGAGGGCGGTGCGCTGGCCTTTAGATAGTTGCAGCTGCTAAGCACCGTGTCATGTTCCTGCAGGTGCCCTAACAGAAGTAGGAAAGCTGAGAGGAGCGGAGATTGCGCGCATGAAGATTGTCGTATTTGTGGCGCACCCCGGCAGTATTGGACGAGGTCGCAGCCCCGGCGAAGTCTCCGCTGAGGTGAACGTGCTTTACTTTTAGAGCCACCTATGGCGGCGTACGCGAACCCTCTAGCGTTACGGCTGACGAACTACGGGCCCGGATGGGCACGATAACCGGGTCCATGGAATGCAGGCATACAAATCCGTGCATGTGCATATCAGAAGAGGCATGTCGTCGGCGGATCGTGATGAAGTTGGCTGTGGGTGCACAGCAACGAGGAAGAGACAAGGTAGAGGAAAAGGGAAAGGGAAAGGGAAAGGGAAGAAAGGGGACAGCGGGACACACGGCTGTGAGGCGCCATCGGCCCGGCCGGTGCCCGTCTGGTTCCCGACTGGAGCAAAACAACTGCCTCTGTTGTGGGCATGATGAGCGGCTTGCCCTTAAGATCGGCTTTATATACGGCCTTGTTCCATGTATTGAAAAATGTCTTTCTTTTTCCTCGTATCACGGAGCCTGTAGGTCCTACTAGCTCGGAAATAATGCAATGGTAGCCATAATAAGGGACCTTCCCGTACCGTCCCAGGGGTGCTGGAGAACCAACCCCGCGGCAGCTTCCCATGTGCCCCACCATGCCACCATGGAGAACCTCGACCTTCATTTCCTCTGGCAAGCATCCCCTCTACTAATCACTCTTAACACTCTCCACCTGTCCGAAAATGTCTCACAGTCACTCTCATGATGGTGCGTCGCATTCGCACTCTGCCGCCGACCACGGGCATACCCATGAGATCCTCGACGGGCCGGGCAGCTATGTGGGACGTGAAATGCCAATCATCGAGGGACGAGATTGGGAGGACCGCTCATTTACCGTTGGAATTGGAGGGTACGACTCATTCCTATCTGCCTCAATCTCAAGTAGACAGCGAAGCCATGGCAAGACGTCATGCAACATAGACAATTACTGACACAAGTAGGCCGGTGGGATCCGGAAAGACTGCCCTCATGCTAGCTCTCTGCAAGCATCTCCGAACACGCTTCTCCATAGCCGCAGTGACCAATGACATCTTCACCCGCGAGGACTGCGAGTTCCTGACCAAGAACAATGCCCTACCCGCGTAAGACCGTTTCACCATCTCCCAGGGCCAATCCTCTCTGACCCATACCCACAGCGAGCGCATTGTCGCCGTCGAAACCGGAGGTTGCCCCCACGCGGCTGTCCGTGAAGACATCTCCGTGAACCTCATGACTCTGACCAACCTCCACCACAAGTTCAACACCGACCTGCTCCTCATCGAATCCGGCGGCGACAACCTTGCCGCGAACTACTCGCGTGAACTCGCTGACTTTATCATCTATGTCATTGATGTCTCCGGAGGCGATAAAATCCCCAGGAAGGGCGGACCCGGTATCACACAGTCGGACCTGCTAGTCGTGAACAAGATCGATCTGGCTGAGGCTGTAGGCGCAGACCTCAATGTCATGGAGAGAGACAGTAGGCGCATGCGTGAAGGGGGGCCGACCATCTTCGCCGTTGTAAAGAGGGACCAGGGCGTCGACGCCATTGTGGATTTGATCCTGTCTGCATGGAAGGCATCGGGCGCGACACAGGCACGCAAACAAAAGTTTGAGCCTACCTTGATGAATGAAGAGGGCAAAGAGAGGAGCTACAGCATGAACTGATCGGACGTCACGAGAAACAATGAAGAAGTTTAATCTATCATGAGGGTGGATCAAGATGACATTGACTCCCTTACAAATCACCCCTGAATGCATAACCAGTATCCGACCTTGCAAGCCATCTATCCCTTGTGTTCAACTCACCTTTTTGGCAATCCAGCGATGCCACCACTCTGCCCGCATTCTGGCAATCCAAGCACCTCTCCAAGTTTAGCGCTTCACGCCGCCCATGGCCCCTCGAAACGTCTCTAGACCCTTCTCCAGCATGGCCTTCCTCGCCTCCAGATGAGCCCTCTGCTGCGTCAACTCGAGAGGCTCAGCAGCAACATACTCGACCTGTTCATCCGTCATCTGCGCAACTACCAGCGGAGAGAGGATAATCTCAGGCAGCGGCTCCACCAAATGCCGCTCAATCACCGCCTTCGCGACAGCATTGATGAAGTAACCCAACTCATCCTTGTAATACGCCCGCTGCATATCCAATGCCTCCTGACTAGAAAACGTATCCATATCCAACTCAATCGACCGATCCAGCTGCGCCGCCAACTCAATCGGATCAATAACCGTACGCTGCTCCTCCTTCTCACCCTCTTGCTTTTTCGCCGCAGACGTAGCAGCCTTGGTAAGCGCTTGATGCTTCCTCAACCGCATCTTCTGAACCTTCGACGTAAAATAATGATTATACGTCGACGGATGCCTCGCCTTGTCCTTCAGCACCTTGGCCAGCTCCTCCTTCGCATCCCCTAGCGACTTGCTCAGCGCTGCATCTACAGTTAACGCTACAAGCCGCTCTTTGAACTCTTCCGGGACACAATCTGCTAGTACCACGTCGATGAAGTCGCGGCACACTTGCGCTACCTTGGCTATGTGCAGCGATGCGAGATCCTCCCAGGGCAAGGATTGCTCCCAGAAAAGCTGGGATATCAGGACCGGTTGGAAGGTACCAGGGAGTTCGTAGCCGCGGGAGCGCTCGAGTGTCTTTTTCACCCATTCGACTGCTTCTGCGCGGCTCAGTTTCTGCGGCACAGGAAGGTATTTCGTGCCGTCCTTTTCTTGTTTGAGTTCGCGCTCGAGTTCCCTTTGGGCATCGAGACTCTCCTTGCAATCCCGCTCGTCGTCGCCGGGGCCGGCTTCGAAGTTGTACCGGTGGCCGCGAAGCCGCATGTCCTTTGCGAAGCCCATGTTGAGGTGCTGGACCACGGCGCGGAACCTACGGATGTTTTCTGCAGAGTCGACGGCGGCGTCTTTGTTGATGGTGCCGAAGAAGGGCGATTCGTAGTACCCCTTTGTAGCGGATTTCAGGATGTCGTTTACTTTCATGCTGATTTTCATGAGGAACACGCGTTGTTCGTGGCTGGTGTTGCGTTTCTCCCCAAGATTCGAAATTTCGTCGAGGGTGGCGCGGTACTTGGTCACCATTTCTTCCTTGAGTGATGGTAGCTCTCGGATTAGATGGTGCAGCAGGACTTTGCTGAGACGCTCGCGGAGAGACGTGATGCCTACGCATTCGCGAGGTAGTTCGGCATAGCGACCTTTGCTGAAGAACAGAGCCTCATCTTTGTTGCGCTGGTCAAATGAGAAGTTCATCTGGTTGTCGGCACGGTTCTTCAACATGTGCCAGCCACGTTCGAGATAGATGTCTTTGTTCTGTGCAAGTTCGATCCAGCTCAACTCGTTGTCGGTGCCCTCACGAAGAAAGTCGGGTTTGGTGATGATGCCGAGAGTGCGGCGGCCTTGCTCGTCAATCTTGCGGCAATGGTCGAGGATGATTTGGTTTGCGAAATCGTTCTTTGCACTCACTACAGCCAGGATGATGGTCCGTGGGTTTTTCATGTACTGGCTGACAAGATCTAGAATCAGCTCTTTGTCTGCTTCCGTCTGGGCCTTGTTTGTCGCATGGATAAGACCAGGAAGATCAACAAGAGTCCTGGATGATATTAGTTCGTCATAACGTCAATATCGGGGAATAGCACTGACAGCTGAGGCCTACTAGGACCTGTAATCTCAACAGACAGCACATCGCGAGAAAATGCCCTGGAGCTGATACCACCCACAACGCCTAGGCCCATGGCAAGAGTCGCTTCTTCAATCACATCTGGGAGCTGATCAAAGTTCTGGATAGACTTAGTAAACCCCTTGAGTTTAGCTTGTTCAGACTCTGGGCGAAGCTTGTCAGGAGTGATTGTGACAGTACTCGTCGAAGCTGGGGAGCGGCGAAGGATGATCTGTGTATCGTTAGACCAGTGCATAATCTCTATGTACTGTCGAACTCACCTCAGTGGTAAACCGCGTGCAGAGATTCTCCTTGCGAGGAAACGGAATCTCAGTGATCGCCTCAAGCACTGAACTTTTGCCAGATGACTGGTCACCACAGACAATTAGCTGAGGCAGTTCCACAACTCCGCTTAAACCGGTGCGGCGAAGCTTGTCCACAATGTCCATGACCCTACGCTGGTCCGCCGACTGAAGAGCTTGTAGAGAGCTGGTCGTGACTGCATCTGGATCAACTGGCATGGGAGTGACTGGGGTCTTAGGGCCCTTGTCGGTGTTGGTGTCGTTGCCCATGGTTGCTATCAATGCCTGGGGTACGATCTGGGTAAAGAGTTGTGTTGTAGCAGAAGCGACTGAACAGAAGAGGTTTTTTAAATGGTAGGGTGGTGGCGGTGGGCCGAAGGCAGCTGCGGTGAGTGTGAGTGTGAAGTTGCTGAAGAGCAAACACGCATGTCTCTAGCCCAGCGGCAGAACCGGACAGATGCATCTGCATGCAATTTAGAACAACACATTCGTCCAGTAGATTCTACAACATAGAAAGAAGATACCAGATACCCCACAACAACAAACGTAGAAGAATACATTCCAATGGCAGCCATTCAGTCAGTACTTCCAGAATCACATTCATGTCCAGACAAGATACAAAAATATAGTCCATTTGGTAAACGAGAACGCTACGAACTAACACAAAAAAAAAGGAGGATACACGCACAATTACAAACATCCTATAGTTTTGCACCGCCCTGATCCTTGTTGGCCTGCAGCGTATCCCAATCAGCCATGGTATACACAACATAACCGCCTTCAGCGCCCTTGCCCTTGGTAGCTCCGAGCAAAGTTGGGTTCCAGTAGATGGTGTCGTATTCAACTTGGTCTTTGCCCTGCTCCTTGGCCTCCTTGTCTGCCCTCTCCATCAACTTCCTCAGGTCAATTCCATCGTTCCTCAGTGGGACCTTGTTTTGTTTGTTGTTGTGCATAGTAACTTGCTGTTTTTGTATCCTCAAAAAGACAGGAACTGCATATTTGGGCAACTTGGCGCTCGCATGCTTAAGTAGTGCGTTGAAGTCAAACGAATCGCGCTGAGCAGGGTCAATCAAGAGGGCTGCACAGCCTGCTCGTCCATCATAGCCTGGTACCTCAACACCATAGACGTTCGCTTCTTGGATACCGGGGAAGGATCCAAGGACTTCACTGACTTCGGCTGTGCTAACGTTTTCGGATTTCCAGCGGAAAGTGTCACCAAGACGGTCCATGAAGAACCATCGGCCGTCAGCGTCACGACGAAGGGCGTCACCTGTGCGGTAGTAGAGATCACCCTTCTTGAAGACGTTACGTTCAAAGCGTTTTTCGGTGGCTTCGGGGTTGTTCCAGTAGCCAACAAAGGCATCCTCGCTGGGCAACTGAACAAGAATCTCGCTACCCTCCTCGTACGACTTCCGTTTACAGAAGCCAGTCTTGGGGTCACGGAGAAGATCACCGCTGACCATATCAACCTCAACCGGGACATAGGTGTTATGGAATCGCCAGCGGTCAATGAGACCCTGATGTCCGACTGAGGTAGCTGTAAAGGGCCCGCGAGAACCATTGAAGAGCGCCATAACACCTTCTGTGCTGTTGAAGAACTCGCCAACAACTTCGATACCGAAACGGTCGACAAAACGTTGCCATACATCTGGGCGAAGTCCGTTTCCGAACATGGCTCTGACATTGTGCTTTTTGTCCATATCACTTGGAGGGGCGTTGAGGAGGTAACGAGCCGTCTCTCCAACGTACACGATAGCGGTGGATTTGGAGTCACGCACGTCGGTCCAGAATCTTGATGTGGAGAACTTGGTGCCGATGCAGCAGGTAAGACCAGTAATCATGCATACGAGTGCCGTGGTACCTCCGGTGCCGTGGTATAGAGGCATGCAAACATACCATCGGTCGCCATTAGGCCCTGGCTTCAGGCCCATGGCACCTACCCGACCTGTCAAAGCGGCTGCTCTTTCCGTGGGGAATGGGCAGGCTTTTGGGTGTCCTGTTGTTCCACTAACATTGTCAGCCTATTGGTTCTCTGAAAGAACGTATAGTAGTGACCAACCTTGTGTAGAAAATGAAGATGGGGAATTTGCCCTTTGCGCCTACTCGAAGGGAGTCTTCTGGCCTCTTTGGCTCCAACCTCGAAATCTCACCCTTCAGGTTGTTGTCCAGAATCAAGATAGTCATGCCGAGCTCTTCCTCCAATTTTTGGCGAATGTCTTCAATCCTTTGCCTGCACTCTTGGTCTTCGTCGACAAGCAGCACCTTGGCACCGCTTACTTTCAAGCAGTGAAACAGCGAATCACCCGCCAAATTGTAGTTGATCCATGCTGGAGAACTTCCTATGCTCCAGCTGCCCAAGTGAGCGAACAAAAACTCGGGTCGGTTCATCATGTACATGGCAAAGAGCTGTCCGGGCACGACGCCATGCTGGTGGAGGTATTGGCCATAGCGACAGGCATTCGCGTAGGTTTCGGCCCAGGTGTAGCATCCGTTGCGAGACCAGATACATTCTTCATTCGAGGGTAGACGGCGGACTTGGGTTTCGAATTGGTACCAGAGAGATTGGCCTTTGCCTCGAGCTGCGGGAACGTTAGTCAAGGGTGATGTGAGCACAGTAACAGCCCAAACTTACAGTTCTTCTCTACTCCACGCGCTGCTGCTTTTTGACCGCGAATGCCTGCGATATCTTTGGAAATGTGGTATTTGGCATCAAGGTATGCGGCGGCAGCAGTAACGCCTGCAATGGCGGCGCCTGCAACGGGTGCTAGAAAGACCGGGTTAGCTAGGATGCAACAGCGCGCGCCGCAACAGCTCAACAGCATGGGGAATGCTCACCAAGATCCTTGATATCCATAATGATTTCTTCGAACCTGTTGGGAAATATACAAGACTGTGAAGAAGAGGGAAAAAGAGAGTAGGCAAGCGATCGGAAAATGAAGATGTCCCAAAACGTGCGCAATGCTTCTTGATAACGTGCGACACGTCCGTCCGCAACGTGATCAATTGCCGGTATGCCCTCGGTCTCAACGCGCGCCGCCCCAACCCCAGGAGCCACCCCACGTGCCGGGAGCCCCACACACTTCTCCGTGTCTCGTCTTCGGTTCCATCGAGCGGCTTTGTGTATATACACACATAATGAGCGACAAGGAGATTATGGTCGATAATTGTTTGAGATGCTGGTGTCTTGAAGTGACATGGTGATCTAGTAACAAAGCTTCCATCACCTGCAAACATGGGTCTCCTATTCACCGACGACTTTCAACAACTTCAGCAAGCGTTTGCACTTTGATCTGCAAGCCCTTGAACATTCTTTTCCCGGCCATGAATGTAGCATTTCGTCCCGCAATGCTTGTAAAAACCAGCTTCCCCAAAGTCGGCTGGACGCACCTATTTGATTTGCTAACCCTCGGTTGCTGGGTCGGTAGTTCGTATCCACTAAACCGGATTCATCATCCTTGGCAAATCTGTTTCAGATGTCCACACGTACTACCTCAGATATATATATTCTAACCATCTCAACTTGTATCAAAACAGGGCTCGGTGGTGTAGTTGGTTATCACGTCAGTCTAACATCCTGTTAGGCACACTGAAGGTCCCGAGTTCAAACCTCGGCTGAGTCAAAGCCGGAGCTCGTTAAGAGCTCCACCTCCTTTTTGCACATCCTTCCTCATCTCCATTGTCGTGGATGTTAAAAAGTTGGTGTCATTTTTTTTTTTGAAAAAGTTTGGGAAAAGAGCGGATTCGTTGGGAGAAAATGCAATACACCGGCATATCAGCTATCAAACATCACACCCAAAGTAGCATCACAATGGAAACAGATGTACAGTATTCTTTCAACTCCAATCCTTTTCTTTGATTTCTCCTCTCATTCATGGCAGGTAATGTATATACAACGAAGATGAAAGATGAAAGATAACATTCATCTTTTTGAGTGCGGTTCAAAAAAACGAAAACGAGTGACAAACCACGCACCCAAGAGAGCCGAACGCCTGAAAGCGCTGCAGACTTGTACAGTGGCCCAAAATGGCCAGCTTCGACATGGCTAGTATGTGTATAGCTCTAGTACGAGGCGGGAGTCTCCTTGGAGCCCGAAGCCTGTACGGTAACCGTCTCAGTCAAGGTCTTGTACACAGTTGGTGCGCCAGTGCAGATAGATGCGTCGGCGACGTTTGCAGCGGTGGCGGTGACGGTGACGGTAGGTGTGTATGTGACGGTGACGGGGGGCTTGCAGTCTCCCTCTTCCTCGTCATCGCTGGTGGCGCCGCCAGCGACTGGGCCGGGAGTCTTATTAGCCGGGGCGGAGGGACCGGTGGGAGAGGCGATGGGAGTTGGCTGTGCGGCGTCGTAGTCGCCGGATTCCTCCTTGTCGACGCCCTTGTTGGGGAGGCCGGCGGGATAGGAGGGGTACAGGGAGGGAGAGCTGGTGGCTTCGGGGGTAGCGTCGGGGGTTACGGCGGGAGAGGCTTTGGATGTGGGCTTGTACTCGGCGGGGGCTGAGGTGTTGCTAGAGGGAGTCTGGGTTGCGGCTGGGGATGAGGCTTGAGTGCTCTTGTTGCTGGTAGGGGCAGCTGGGGCAGCGTTGCAGCCAGCGCCGGAGGCAGGAGTAGCAGAGGCGGGGCCGTACTGGACGGGGTTGCAGCCGGGAAGGACGTCGAGGATCTCTGAGTCGTATGCCATACGGGACTCGGCGGCAGAGCAGCTTGCCCAGGAATCGTCGCTGTCCTTGTTGACGTTGGCGGAGCCAAAGCACTGCTCCATTTGTTCTTGACCGCAGCCACAACCACACTTGCAACCGTCGTTCTCGCTGATGGCCTTGTCGAGGACCCCCTCGTCCCATCCGTTCATCTTGTCATGAAGTTAGCATAGTGGCATCAGAATGGAAGCAGGTAATCTTACGAAGTCAGCGTGGAAGCCGTAGCCAGTGGCATCACCGTTGGAGAGGACCCAAGGAGCCTCATCAGGACCGAACTTGAAGGACGAAATGTCCCACCAGTACTCAATGAACAGAGTAGGGAAACGCGCGGCTCTGTGAGTGACAGGGCAGTTCTCAATACCAACACCGCTGTTGCCGTTGGGGTAGGCCATGTGCGCATAACCATCTTTGGGATCCATGGGCTGTCCGTTCCAGCAAGAAGGATAGGTGACTTCAGAGGCAAAGCCGAACTTGCAAGAGGTGAAGCCCTTGGGGAAACCGTTGTCGAAGATAGCCGTCTCGCCACCGTCAGGTTGGTGGCAACCCCAGCGGACACCGGCTGCGTTGTCATCACTGTTGCTGCGCCTGTTGGGCTTTCCAGCAACCATATTGAAACCCTTTGGGTATGCAGTGACGTTTGCCCAGTTGTTTCCATCTCCGTACTTGTAGTAGATCTTGGTCGCCTTCTCGGG